GCCACAGTGTGTCATTCAGGATGGTTTTGTTGATGGATTGGTTCACCTAGCTGATGATTTCTGAGGGTCCCCAAGTATGGATGGTGTCAGATTTGGGTGGCCTCCCTCCCTGCTCCTGCTCCTGGGATGGCCAGGTGACTTTTCTCTCACAGGAACTTCAGACCCCAGGGGTAGACTGCAAATTTCCAGCTCAACCATCCAAAAATATGTTGGTATCCAAAGGCCTTTTGTATTTTTGTGGCATATATACGTCACGTAAAAGTAAAGACTAGGGAATAATTTGCAAAGGCTTTTGTGTCCACTGCCTGTTTTAAGAAAGAGAGGATATAAATTAAACCTTTCTCATTTGTCTCTGTGTTTTCTTTCTGTTCCCAGTGCTTCCTCCCGTGCTGGTTCCGAGGTACAGTGAGTACAACCCTCAGCACAGCCTTCTGGCACAGTTCTGTAACTTGGGACAGAATGAGCCTCACATGCCACCGAACGCCACGTTTCCAGATTCCTTCCAGCAGCCCAGCACCCACCCATTTCCGCACTCGTCCAACAATAGCTACCCCAACTCCCTAGGCAGCAGCAGCAGCAGCAGCAGCAGCACCTACCCTCACTCCAGCACCAGCTCAGACCCAGGCAGCCCTTTCCAGAAGTCAGGTAGGAGGGGGCATTCGGGGACGCTGCTTGCCTTGGGGAGGTGGGTGGGTGTGGCCTGCGGGGGGGCAGGGTAGGTGGAACCCTGAGCACATCCTGGTGAACCAGTCCTTGGAGAATATAAATGTAGGGAGGGGAGTTGTACATACAGCTGGAGAAGAGGATGGCTTGTTTGAGTCCTGTTAAGTTTTGAAACTGCTGCATCCTTCTTTGAGTGGCACAATTGTTCCAGTCTCGGCTCTCCATAAAAAGAAAGGGGAAAAAGTCATGTTACACACACTGCTGTTCTGAGAAGCGGCTTTGGCGAGCAATTCCAATATTGAACAACACTTGCTATCAATGCAGCCGCAGAAGAGCTAATTCCTGGGGTGTCCGCCCGCCCCATTTAATTAGATTCATTTAGCCAGTGATGTAATCCCAAGAAATATGTACTTTTAATATCAAGGAAATGCAACAGAAGTGATAGAGAACATCGGCTTGTTTAACTTAGCAAAGACAAAAACCAGTTATTTTCCTGTTTTAGTCATAACGGATGGAGTAATAGTGACTAATTAGAGGATTACACTTTTCAGATTACAGGTTAGTAAACAAGCATCTCAAATATTAGTGCCAGAGCTCTTGCCAGTCGACATCAAGAGGGACACGATAAATAAAAGATCATCATGAAATGCATGGATATTTTTGTGAGGGAAAAATGATGGCACAGGATGTTTATAGAGCCACTTAAGGTGCTTTACATAAAATTTTACTTCAGCATCCATGTTGTACCTACAGAAATTAAAACGTGATCCATGCTTTATTGCTTCCCCCATTCCCAACTATAAGTAAAAGGAAAATGTTTACCTAAGTTATCCTCTGACCCCTGCATACATGTGCACACACATGCATCTGTGTACACTTGAGCAGGCCTAATCATACGCAAAAGCTTTCAACACAGAGGAGAGTATGTGCCTGAAGCATGTATATTTTTTTCTTTCAAACTTTGTAGCTGACATACCCCCACCTGCTTACCAGCCTCCTGAAGATGCCATGGCCCAAGATGGCTCTCAGCCAATGGACACAAATATGATGGCACCTGCCCTGCCCTCCAAGAGCAACAGAGGAGGTAAAATGAGTTGTCAGAGTGTTGTCTGTATGTCCTGTCCAAATGT